TATTTTTATTGTTAAAAAAACAGTAATAATAATTGAATCAATCAGCGTCATACTTAATGCTGTCTTAATTAAAAGTTAACTTAATTCTAAAATTGTTACATTTTCGTGCTTACTAACTTCTGTAAACATTGTAATGACACAATAAATTAAGCTAATTTAACATTATTTAAACGTATCCACCTCCGCAGTATTAGGTAATAGTAACACATCAACAAAAGGTAACAGCACTTTTATTAACTGTGACTAATTGTCACAAAAAAGAAATATAAGGACAGACCACAGAACATAAACCATATAGAGATATAGAGTTAGATTAATATGACTTACAAATTGTTTGGGGACCCATAGTAGTATGATGCTGTTAAAGTATTTGTTGCGAATGTACATAGTATACTTATCATTTAGTAACGCTTTAATTATGAATTTAATTTTTTGAAACAAGCAATATTGCTGAAGAAATGGTTTATATAGATATGAATTTGCTAGATAGAATCAGAATTTCCTCATATTTGGGTTAAAAATGATGCTGCCACAATATAGTATTTACTAATATGTAAAGCTCAGGGTTTTCGTCGGCCAGTCATAGTCGTGTTCGTCGTAAACAAATAAATAAAAGGGTATGTATAAATAAAATAAATACATTTGCGTATTTTATCAGCGATAGGTCGTTTTTTACCCCTTGGCGCTTTCGACATTATTAAAATATTAAAACACGTATACACGAAGCAAACGCGAAGCCAATAACTGCCGTTATTACCGGTTTCGTACGGTGCGGTGTACGACAAAAATCATAATATTCTTCCCGCCACTAGGTTTTACATTTAGATCTACACTATTTAGTTGGCGATACTAATACATATAACAATATCAGTGAACGTCATTCTGACTGATTATTCTAATAATACAAGCAAGCAACTAGTATAAAATATATATTTAAATAATTTCTTAGATGGCCTTGTATGTCATGCTATTTAAATAACTTAATTTCCGCTGTATAAATTCAAAAATGCGTGAAAAAACGTCCATATAAATTAATACCCTTTCATTTCCGGAGAATTGAATTTTCTATTTTTTTTTTGTATAATCAGTTGAATCACGCGATCCATGTTCGGTGATAACTAATGTATTATAAAAATTATAACTGTAACAACAGACTTCAAATAAATAGTAATAGTAAGTATAATTAGCCGTTAAGGCTACTTATTATAATTACATCTAGACCTGGACATTAAGTGTATACAAAAATGTTTAGACCTGCTGCAGTGATAATGTTGACACTTGAATCTAGACATTCAGTTTATATAGCTAATGTCTCTATGTGTGCAGCAGTTAGAGCAGCGTTCCTGGAATGTCGTCTGATCTGAATTCCACCACAGATTTCGTAGTTTTGCGTCCATTAGAATCATTGCAATTCGGAACTGCTTCTCGTGGGGAGTAATTTGAGCCTCCTGGAACATGGTCTCTATTAGGATTGGGAACAGAGGTTGGAGACAGCTTCATGGTTCCGATTGGAAAGTTGAGCGAAAATTTAATATCCGCTCGCAATTTGGAAAAAGGCTCACAGATCACATGCATGTTTTTTTTGGGATAACTTTTCTAAACTGTTGTCATTTATATTTCAATTCTAATACATATTTTTGTCTAACGACATTTGACCAGTGGGAAAAGAAAGGCAATTAAATGAAAGCTCACTACGAAGAGCAATTTACTCCACGTATCTGACAAATGGATCCTAAAGCAAAGTTGTCTTTATTAATAGCCTTGCTATAATATAATTAATTAATATAATTCATTGTCGTTCATGGGTTTCTAATAATTCTAACATTCCTAAGGCTTCTTCATCTTGTTGCTTAAAACGCAATGTATTTTGTAGGCTTCTTTAATTTATTATATTCCGTAAGAATATTGTGTAGGTATTTCATCTGTTGCGTAAGTCAAATTGATTTAATTTTTTTGTACTTTTATCATTGACTTAAAAAATATTTTTCTACTAGGGCCTACTTTGAAGATGATGGGCAGCCTAGTAACTAGGCTAACGTCTTCAAAATCGTGAAAAATACTGATAATTCGAGGGATGGTTGAGGGGCTCATTCGATTCGGTATGACGTCTAGAAAAATGTGCATAAATATCGTATTCGCACATAAGCAATTGCACAAGTTATAAACAAAAGATTTAAAAAAGGGTTTCACTTTTTGCAAATAACTCGAAAAATATAAGCGTTAGCGTCATTTTGAAAAAGATCCTAAAAGAAGAGGAAACTTCGTTGTCGGGAAAAAATTTTTTCATCGATTTTTCAAAAATATGTATATACTAAATCCATGAATCGACAACTTATAAATACCGAAACCCATAAATGCCAAAATCTGATGATTAAATAATTAATCCAGAAATCCATAATCCCGAAATCAAACAAGTAAAATAAACCTGAAAAACCTATAAACCCAACTTATAAACCCTAAAGCCCATAAATCCCAAACCCCCATAAACCCCAAAACCCATAACCCCTAAAACCCCGTAAACCCTAAAACACAAACCTCATAATCCATAATCCCTAACATCCATAAACCCGAAGACAAATAAACCTCAAATCCTTAAAACGCATAAATCCCAAAACACCAAAACCCATAAACCCTAAAATGGATATGTACATCAGATTTAGGAGTATGTGGTTTGCGGTTCAATAGTTTTATATAAAGTACTATACAGGATGATTCAGAAAAAAAAAGAAATTGGATGTACAGAGGACCCATACATTACATTACTCATTGCTTACAAAAGCAATTTTGTAAAGAAAATATCAAAAAGGGCAGTTCGAAAATGATTTAAAAATACACTTCTGCACGGCACTGGAAACTGGTCCACTGTAAAACCTGACCTTGCACAACTTGAAAGAATTTCACAAGGAAAGAAATAAATAGAATTTTACAGCACCTATTTTATATCGACAAATTCTACTGCTTTTGCCATTATTATTATTAATTAATAAAATTAATTTGTGGTTTTAAATAATAAAATAATTTGACATATCTCATGTTACAACTGTTCAAAATGTTGTCCACCGACGTATAAGCACATTAGGTTCAGTTTTACTCAGTTTCTACGAACTGACACAAATGTCATCTTGCTTCACCATAACACAAATGCTTCACCATAAATTAAAACGATATCCATCAACACCGAGTTGCTATACACGCAAGCAATTTTTGACACTAACTACAAATAAACTATTGTTAACACTATCGCAACAACGATTGTAAAATCGGATTTGAGTATTCGGAGTCGCTGAGGCTACGAGGCTCTCCATGCGCATTGCAAATGACGCTAGAGATTACAGACTACAATAATTTTTTTCTCGGAAACTATAAGGAGTTTACAAAAAAATTTTTTTACGATATTGACTCCATTTCTATTCCCAAATTTTTTTGGATAAGTTGTGAATCACTATGTATACATAGTATCTAGATAATTGGATGTAACAAATATTACTGTTTACTTTCTTAGGCGTGTATTATGTTTATATCTATCCCTGCTTATTTTCTGCAGTGAACTGCAAAAGTATAATATTTAAGGATTATTTAATAAAAAATCTAGTGGTTTGGCCTATCTCCATGCTAAGAAAAGTTATCACTATAGAATAGGCCTGAATTAAAGTCCAAAATATTAATCTACGTAATACGAATTATTAATTTAACGAAGTGAAAATATTTTTATCTAAAAACATTTGAAAATTCTCGATGCAACAGTTGGTTTTAACACGGAGAAAGAGATATCTGTCTTTAACCCGGTTATACACCAAACTATTTAGAAATTAGTCATTCCTATGATATGTTTCACATTTAACCTATCAAAATTAATACTAAAATTATTTCTTATCATTATCTATAAACAGTTAAATATAATTCCATCAAACACATTTAAACATATTTTTAGAATGATTTCTCTTTCCAGCTAATGGCAGCTAATGTTTTACTTTAAATAATTTGCTGTTGACATGAAAATATTTTTTTTCATTCAAGGTTATCCTCATATAATTGTAATACCAATAAAAATACATTGATACTCTGTACAGTTACAGTATGACAAGTCTGGAAGAAAAAAACTTGATAGGGATGATTTATTTTCATGAAAATATTTTTAAAATATAAAAATTGTAATAATATTACATACAAACATTTAAGGCCTTCTGAGTGCTGCCACTGAGTAAATTATGCGCTCGGCGTCTTTTTCCTTGAGTGTGATGGTCATTTCTCAGGCTTCTACTAAGAAAGTCAAACATATTTTATTACTTGTCAGTCATAAAACAACATGCAAATATATAAAATTTATGTAGATTTCCTTTGTTCCCACTTGATATATGGCTAGGCTATAGATGAATTGTAGGAACTCGAATGTGAAATCTCATTTATTTCTGCTCTAGAATAACGCGGTATATTTTAAAAAGTTCTTTGCGTATACATATATCATCATTGACGACTGTTGCATTATAACAATAATGTATATTAATAAGATGGAAATTTGAATGTATAGTTCTCGAAAAACAAATAAATAATTTGCTTTTAAAATCACTAGATCTCAATCTCAGTGAGCGAGTTATTTTAACGATATTAACTTATTTTAGTCTGTTTTCGCATTATGGAAAATATATATTAAAATATTAAAAAACTTATAGAAAAATACAAAGAGAGCAGTGCGATGGACACCTTCAGATCTGCCAAATTACGTATTTCTCCATTATTACCTTCTAACAATGACAGTGAACTAACTGAATCAGCCTCCTAAGCTTCCCTGAAACTGTGGAACAATGTCAAGAATTAGACAGACTCCAGACTCTCTTATCCTGTAAAACTAATGATTTTGCCATTGGTTATATAAGCTGTAGTCACAGATAAACCACCATAACTGCAAATGAATAAGAATATAGCGAAACAAAAAATGCATAATTAATAATGTTTGTATTATAATATTAACAATTCATTAGAACATGCACTTATATTTACAGAGACTATGATGACACCAACAACAACAGCAGAAACAGTAACAGAAAATAGTACCGCCAGCCACAACCCCAGTTTTGTGATATCGCCTGTTGATGTTTTACGAACTGTTGATCAAAACAAAAGTCAATGCTCTTCTCTTTCGGATGCTGAAAATTACGAATGGGCAGGAGAGAATACTGACGTAGATCCAGATACTAGCGCCAGTGTTAATGGAAATAACAAGTATGTAAATTCATAGTTACTACTTTCAACATTAAGATGAGTGTTTATTGTCAGAAGCACAATTTTTTTACTTCACCATGTATTTTAGATCTTATATCTGCTTGCTTATACTACGTTTACTTTACATATTCCAACGACGTAAACAATAAGCAAGTCTTTATCAAGCGTGTATCATGCTTGATCATTGTTTCGTCCTAGTAGAAACTACTTTTAAATGGCCAATTTTTACCTCTTTGAGAGGTTTCTCATTTTCCCGGAGATAGACAAACAGTAATTTAGATATTTCGGGTTCGATTTTCGAAAAAAATTGAATCGTGATAACAGCATCTGGTTCATTTAAAAGATACAAGGCGTTTTTTTATTTTTGACTGTTTGTAATGTCGAAAAGTCATAATAGGTAGATTTTCCTTAGAATTAAACATGAATATTGTCTGCTTGAATAAAATATAAACACTGTTGCTATGTACAGGGTGTTTTTGAAAAACGTACCATACATTCAGAGATACTGATAGAATATAAAAAATAAGCTATATTTTCATAAGGACCATGGTTTTTTGTTTTTGAAATACAAGGTATCAAAGAATGGCCCTTTAATATTATTTTTTGATAAACTTTAGGTTCCTAAATTTGTGATGCTTTTTCCGAAACACAACAACGATTTCACCTGCTATTTTTAATGTTTTAGTTAATAATGTCTTGTGAATTGCTATTTAATCCTGCCGAATAATTTTCTGGAACAAAAATAATATTTAAATATGTACATATTTTAAAAATGTTTCTGTACCTACTTATGTATACATATGTATTTTCTAGACCGTAAAACATTGCACATTATTTTTATTAGGACTTGTTACTCTCGCTGTTACTTTTACTGTAACTATTTGTTCTTCCTTTCTAAAGGTTGGAGCTGGAATAAAAATAATTATAAACTATGTTTTGAAGTACGATTATACAAAATATAGTTATGTTGCCAGCATTATTATGTAACTTACGCCTATAAAACATTTAATTTTTAGCGCTCTTCAACCTACAAGTCCCCCTAACGGAATAAATAGAAATTCTTGGTTAAGGACAAGTCTACGAAGGTCACCAAAGTAAGTAAAAATTAAATTTATTGATAGTTACTTTATATTTATTTTTTCTCTAGCCATCAGGATAATCTGAACTCTAGGAGATGGGGATCTTTCAGACAGTGAGTAGCTATGTCTTTATTGTTATTATTATTTATTATTACTATTGCTTTTACAAAAAATATACATCAGAGATTGCTTTCCATGGGAAGTTTGGGCACATAGAGCCTCCTATCCCATGTCACTGTCTTTTAGATTTCTATATGTGTTGTGTCATGTAACTAACTTAAAATTTATTGAATTTACAAATATTTTAACATTTTTATTAACAGAAATATGGAAAGTTTCTAAATCGATCTTATAGGTATTTATAAAAAAATTGTGTCACAACTGTTGGGACCTTCTACATCTGTTAGATTTTTAACATAATTCAATTATATGTATATGTTTCTTTTAAATGTGAAATATGTGGTTGAACAAATACCTTATTAAATTTAGCCGGACTTTCTAGAGCACTTAATTCATTTTCATCTAGATATTTGGAATGACACATGTATTTGTGTGTTTTAAGACATTTAAGTAACAGGCTTGATCAAATATTATCATCCTCTATTAGAGACATGGGCATGTTTTAATGGACAAAGTAGCACATAATTTAATACTTATCGCGATTCCTATATATTTGGTAAATAAAATATCCCTTTTATTTCTCCCTTTCGTAATTGTAACATGAATGATTAATAGAAGGTGCCTTTAATAAAATTACATGAATCACACCAAATTCCGCATTGCTGCACTGCACTGTTAGGCAATTTGTCAACCACTTGTCAACAATTGAGATTTATTGCCCAGTCGACCAGTGCGGCTGTGTTTGTTATGTCGTTTGCCCGTGCGCGTATTCTTCTACTGGGCGTATACATTTCTACCACCTCCACTTTTTAAATAATTCAGTGCCGAGTTGCTGCGTCAGCGACCGAACCTGGTACATACTGCCAACCTCTTGGTTCTTCAGTCGGAAAGACTATACCATGTTTATTTATAAAAATATTATCACTTCAATTTTCACCATGCAAATTTCAATATTTACCGAAAAGACTAGATACTTAGTTCAAAATAACGTGTTTTGGTGGTGATGGTTAAATTAACTTGTTAACCAACTGGTTAACAGTTGGTGCCAGTGTCAATTTTATAACTTATAAACAAATTTTGAGCGAATTAGTTCAGTATTTTTTTTTAGGATTTGATTAATTGGTTATAGTTTAACTGGATACGACGCAAGACGTGAAATTTTTACGTATCTATAAGGCATGAATCGCGTTTCAAAAGTTAGTTTAAGTATTTGTTTCAAAAGTTAGTTTAAACCTGAATTTAGCCGTAAACATATTATTAAAATTAATATTTTGTTTGAAGTTTCAAGAAATGTTATTTATTTCGCTTAATGAAATTAAAAACATATTCTCAAAATTAATATTTTGTTTGAAGTTTCAAGAAATGTTATTTATTGCGATTAAAGAAATTAATAATAAATAAATAAAAAACAACTATTACAGAAATATGTAATAGTTGGTTTTTACCAATCTGTTCTATGCGTTCGCGAGTTCTCGTCCTAACCTTTTTCGGTATTCTACATTCTCCTTCTTCAGAACCTTTATAAATGTTTAAAAGCCACGTGATCACCGAGCTTGGACAACCCAACATTGTTCGATTGGTATTGGTACGAAAATTCCCTAAGCCTTAATGATTCGTTTACAATGAACAATATCAAACCCTTACGTTTACGCTCGAGATAATGCGATCGCTGATTGGCTGAATAGTATCTCGTGAAAAATCACACCAATCACAGCCGGTGAAACGGAATGTTTCGTTTTAAAGTGATCTTGATCTTTTGTTTTAATAATTTTTAATTTTACCGAAATTTAATTGCCAACACGAAGGAAATAAAATTACTGGCCCCCCAGACCATTGGTGGGAACAGGACCGTACGGACCAGATGTGCCAACTAAGAATGTACGGTCTTTTTGCTCACACAAGCTATTAGCACAGTCCGTTCAATTGAATTTAACGCACGAACAACGATATCTGGAAAGTATCTCCTAGAAATAACGACAGTAATAGCAGCAAAAAAGGGGAAAAATGGTACAAGAATTGGCTTTTGGGAAGGAATACGTTTTCTCATGTTAATTTATTAAGCCAATTAATCGTAGAAACCAGGGAACTGGTATACATATTTGCGAGTGGACGAAACAACCTATTTTTTGTTATAATCATTTCTCTCGACGCATTTTTGTCCACTTGTCATTTACTGATTCTTCCTAAGCCTTATTTTTCATTTTTAGACAAATCAATAAAGTCGGATAAGAAGTCATTAGAACCAGGAATACTCTCCTGTCCGTACCTTTAGAAAATCTCTGAGAAAATCTAACCGAAACAGATTTTGCATGACTGTGAAACCGTGCCTTTTTTTCTCCACACACACTCTGTACCTGACACGTTCTTGCAGGTCCGTGCAGCCCAATTCGCGCGAATTGAACGAAGTCTGTGGAGCCCTATAAACGTATAAAGATTTTATTTGCGCACGTTTCGGATACAGCTTAAACTGTCTGTTGCTAATCTAATCATGTGGTGTTGGCGTAGAATATGATTCTTTGTTTAAGTATGTATTTGCTTTCACTTAAGGCATTTATCTGACTCATTTTAATCCTACATATCCATTTAAGAAGCATTTTCGATAAGTTAACCTGTCTTTTTAGATTTATCTCAGACCATTAAAAAAATTATCACAAAATTTATAAATCTATAGCATTCTTAAGAGCTCCTTTCAACCTAATAATTTCTAGCAAAATTACCTATTTAGCATTAAGATTTCGAAAATTTTGTACTGTTGAGAATGACATGTCTTTAACATAATTAGCTTTTTATGAGCACAGGTTAATTAAATTAATATTTAAAATCATAAAAGTAATTGCATATAATTAATTTATGATTTGAAAATTGAATACTTTATGCTTGATTTATTTAATTGACATAATCTGAGCTATATGATTTTTTAAGCAAATTGTACTTTTGCACGTCATTCCTCAGTCATTTTACGGCATACTTAAGAGAACTATTAACTTCAAAACCTGATCATTTTATTAACGAATGGTCTTAGATGTTTACTAGATATTGCGGGTGTAATTTAATGCTGAACAGGGCTTTAATCGGCTTCATTTTAATAACATTCGGAAAAATCATCCTACATGGTATATAGATAGTTATTAAATTGTTAATATTTTACTTCTGTGCAAATTGTATTGTCCTTACTAATGTTTGATCCTAAAAGGAAGGAAATATTTTTATAATTAGAATTACAAGAGTCAATCAGTCAATGTTGTTGTTGGCAAAATAATCAATTATATACGCAACTATTTTATAATTAAAAAGTGTATTTGTCAGAGGATAATAATAAAGTAAAAATGGAATAAAGTTGCGAAACTGTCAAAACTTACTTCTCGTACATAGAATGTAAATGTTAATTTCACAGAATTTCTACTGTTGAGTAATTCAAATTATACGTCTTTTATAAACATATTTGTTCTTTAAATATCGCGCAATGAGATTTGCAAAATTAGTCATATAGATGAGAATTTTTACTCTAATTCTGATGTATGGTATTGGTAACAGTTATTTAAGTACATAAAAGTGTAAATATCGCCTTGTAACTTGATAACGAAACGAATACATTTTTCTGATTAGACAAGTTTAATCTACTTTTTAAAAATATAGCTAGAGTTTTAATTCTAACTCTAGTAGTTCACGAGGTACCTTGATGTGTCATCGAAAATAAATGCTTGTTTAGTCGTACCAGGTAACTGTAATATTTTATACAGGGTGTTTGGAAAAGTTGGTACAAAATTTTAGGAGGTAGAGCCAAAAATAGTAAAAAAGTTCCCATAAACATTGGTCCTCCGGAGCATCGTTACTGAGATATGGCCCCCCAAAGGGGTCTTATCATTTGGATATTTTTTAAAATTACTTTCTTTGTGATTAAGATAATGGAATGAAAATTGTAGATAATAATCATACCATAAGGATAGTTTTCTAACTACCTACCCTTAACAGAAATTTTTCGATTTTTTTTTATTCTTTTGAATTATCAAGCAAATAATATTACTTTTTTTGAAGAAAAAATGTCTACTTTTTTTCGAATTCTGCGTAGTTTAGTCAGAAATAATTATTTTTTAAATAATGTATGGCTCAGAGTAGTAACTTTTTTAACATTTTCACATAGTAGGCATATTTCATGGTGACAGTTTCATTGTAATGATACTAATAACTGTCACTTTCGCGTGCTATCATTTAAATTCTTACCTTTCTTTATTTTCTTAGTTGTGATCTTTATTCGATTTTTTTACAACCATGAACCATCATGAACAGACGCTCTTCTTACACTCGCAGTAGGATTAAAAAAATCCTACAATTACTTCGTCTAAATAATGCCTTCGCCTCCTTGGACGGCTAAATTCACGATATCTTAGATTTAGGGCTCCTGATTCCATCGTTCTTGCATGAATTTTCCCAAAAAAATCTTGCAGCAGGTTGCTTTCTATCAGGGAGACTTTGCCGATACTCTTTTTTGAACCACCAGACTATTTCCATTGCAGAAACCATAAATAAAATGCATGTCGGCGTCGGCATATTCACGGTTAGTAAAAGCATGATGGTTCTTGGTTCTAAAAAAATCGAATGAAATGCAGTCAAACACAAAGATTAAACTTCAAAAAATCTCGAAGAAAAAAAGTCCAACGGCGTTAAATTGCATGATTTAGGCGGCCAATTCTGATCACCAAAACGAGAAATTACACGACCGACAAATGACATGCAGTAATCGAATTGTTTCTCAGACTGTATGGCATATGACACCGTTTTGTTGAAACCACATGTCGACTACATCCATATCTTGCAATTTAGGCAAAAAGAAATGAATTATCATGTTGCGATAGCGAGCACCATTAACTGTTATTGCCTGGCCTGCCGCATTTTCGAAAAAGAATGGCTCGATGATGCCTCTAGCCCAAAATTCGCACCAAATAGTGACACGTCAACAATCACTGGTGGATTTCTTCGTTCTGCGTGATCAGGAAGCTTCAGTACTTGAGTCAATTTAAGTTTAAACTACAGGGTGATTCACAAACGGCGACCAAAAATGAAACCTCGTATTCTTTGGTAAATTAATAACATTAGTCATCCTTTTAATGATTTTATTTGAGTAAATGCTCAAAAATACCTCCATTTCCTCAAACACAAGCGCGACATCTTTTTAGTAACGAAAATGTAATTAGTTCGAAATTTATTGTTGCTTGAATCTGATGAAAAGCATTATTTATTCTTTCTTCTAACTGATCACTGATCAGAATATCAAAGTTGCTATCGCAGCCTACTATGTAATTTTAAACCGAATTTTATTCGATCGGAGTGTTTTCAGTTCGTTTTTTAAGTTTTACTCGAAAATCAGTTTTTTTTTCGAAAAATATAAGAGTAGTAATTTGTAGAAAATTGAAAGATGAATCCGAAAATACAATGATTGTTATCGTAAAGCAGTGGCGTACTATTTTATTTAAAAAAATATGCCACCGATACCCTGCATCCCCGCCACTGGAGCATCTATATTACCGGAAAAGACTTTAGTTTTTGGATAATGTTTACATAAATACATGTGCCCAATTTCAAATTATATCACTTACTAGTTTTTAGATTATTTAAAAAAATTAAAAATATTTTTTCAAGTTAAAAAGATACAGGCTGTATCTTTTTAATGAAGCGTCCTAAATAACAACTTTATACGAAAAACTCCCCTTAATATTCTTAATATTCACCAAATTCATTTTTGGTCACCGTTAGTGAATCACCCTGTACATGATTCGTTGATGAAGTTAAATCACTATGCCGACCACATTTTGTACGAAAATTACGGACTGCAGCTGCCAAACCTTCATTATTTTAAAAATTGTTTTTGTTCTTTTGTGTAGCGCTTCATTTTTTAACAATCCTGAACTGTTACCGCTCAAATGGCGCAAAATTCATATCTTGCGTGAAATTTGGGTCACCCGATATGTTTTATATCCACTTACACTCGTATTTCATCCAACATTACCCGAAATATAATATTTAATGAAACCTCCTATTGCTTTTAGGATTTAATATTGAGTGTTGGTAACAACTGAACTTGCGTGATATTTATTTGTCGTTTATTTATAATTATAATTAATTTTGTCGTAAATAATTGTAAAATAATACAGGAAACAAAAGATGTACGAATATACTCAGTCTACCTATGTATTGGTCAAATGTATAAACAAATAATATTCATTAATTGCAAAAGAAATAAAATAGCAAAAGATGATTGTTTTATTTTGTTTCATTGTAAAAATGACATCTAGAATTAAATCTGTTTACTAAATAATTTTTATTTTACTAATTTAGAAGCGGGAGGCGTCAACAGTTAGGATCCAACGCACTAGCAAGGTACGGCATGTAAAGTTTCATCGTGCCAATTTTTTTATTATACTTATATTTTTGCAGTCAGTTGTACCGAAGTTCAAGTTTTAATTCATCGGGAAGAAGCAGCACTTGTGATACCACCGATGATATGTACTCTGATGCGTCCCTCGAGGAAGACGTCCACGATTTACACCACAAGGTAAGAGGAACATGCGATAGCCGTTTACCGGCTACACGAGTGTGGCATATCGACAATTTCTAATAATATCAACGTTGTGTGCAAAACATGAAGTTTCATTCATAGCTAGACGACCTAATTTTTTCTCATTTCGTTTCTGTTTACCGGAACTGCGCATTGTAGGTTCAGCTGATTATAGTTTTTTCTGTGTAAATATTATACAGGATGTAACTAAATACTAGGACAAAATTGAATGATAGATTTGCTTCACAAATTGCCAAAAATACTCCTATAAACATGTGCTCGGAAATTGTTACGTTTTCGAGATACAGAGTGTTCAAAATTAATGAATAAATTTGTCTTATTATTGCGAATTGTAAAAATAATACTGATATTTACTGCTACTTTGAAGATAGGGCTGTCAGAAACAGCCGCAATTCAATGGCGTGTCAAGCGGGTCAGCCGAGACATTCGTGAGTCGTTGCCTCAGAATGCTTTTCACGTTGACGTCACGTGAATATACTGTTGCCGTTGTTATCGTGCGGATGTTGCGTAATTTGTATAATTTGTAATATGTAAATAATTTACATTACAAAAGAAAAATCTAAGAGATTTAGATATAGAGAATAACAAGGTCATTCCAACGATCTGCTATATTCAGTCCTCTATTTCTCTTTCACATGGTTGTTTTTTTCACCTATAACTAGTAAATTAACGATTTTTAGAATCCCGACAAAAATCTAAAACACGATTTTTAATTATAAGCGTTTGGGTCTTACCCAGGGCTGGATTTAACCTATGGTGAGGCCCGGGGCTACAACCTCTACGGAGGCCCTTTAAAAAAAACGCAGATTTTTTGTTTCATTTTAAAAAAGGTCACGCAATCAGCAACTTGTCGATGTACCATTTCAGAACCTACACTTTTTGGTTTGATTCTAAAAAAAAAGTTAAAATTCATTTTGCCAGATCTTGCCGAGGCCCCTCGATCTCGTAAGCCCCCCTCTCCCCTTAAGCCGGGCCTGACCTTACGCGAACAAAAATACATTTTACAAGGCGTCTGTTCTAAGAGGTACCCACTTAAACTATTCATTTTAAAATAATTATGCAGGACGTTTATTGTGAAGGAATTGTGAGATAGGGGCGAACGCCCTCCCCAAATGGTCAAAAAAAAATCTAAGATCAAATAGAATAAATTAATAAAAATAAAAAATGTGTTTAAAAACGTCTTTCTTGGCTGCATAACCTTTTTTTATTAAATAAATGAATGAGGTTTAAAAATTTTATGTCTCAGTTTTCTTGATTGCATACATTTTATTCATTCTATGCATTCATTTCTATCTTTAAATATTTCACAAATATTGAAAAAACATCTTTAGGATTCAACTTTGAACATCCTAAGCAGAAAACTCGGCATCTTAGACTAGATACACTTTTATAGAAGTTTTCTTCATAAAATTGCCTTAGGAATGGCCTCTTAAAATATATACACACTGTATATCGTATACTGAATTATTATATCATTTTTTAATATTAAAGTTAAACTTTAGAAGCAAACGTATAAACGTACTAAAAATTCTATTTAGTCGGTTATTAAATTTGCCATAAATATGCCATTGAACCGACGCGACGTTCATTGTTCAATCCTTTCTGTACTCTGGTCTGGGTGATCTGTCTGATGTCTGGTCATCAATTTTTAATAACGCCCTTGTAAATTTTATTTTTCAAGTTTCTAATTGTTTTGTTACTTACAAGTGTAATTTATTGAAAATAGACGCTTGAATACCCAAACGTCGAAACATTTAATTAAAGACAATCGAATTAAAGAAGTTAATAACAAATTATTTGATAACGGTGGGTTATCATCAAACGGTGACGCATGACGTTATGTATGCATAAATTTAGATAAATTTGTTGTGCTCGTAGCTATTGGTTCTATATAAAATTGTCTTATGGAACGGTGCCCAAAAGATTATCATATTTATTTATAAGTCTCTCTTAAACCTACCAACGTTTTTTGTTGATTTAAGTGTTAAATAGGCTAGTGAGTGTGTAACATACCTACCTAGTTAAAATGTGTCTAGTGTAAATATTGTTTTAGACATAGCGTGTTTTAGTTCAACTTTTCAAGCGACTTATCACTTTTTTGTACCTAAATAAATTGACAAATATAAAAATATCTTAAGATCAATCTGTTTTTAGAAATATATTACATGTAAGATAAAATGGTGCAGTTGTTGATGTAAACTTGTGCGTTTATATTTGACTCGTAAGCAGAAATAACCATGAATAATGTCGTTAAAGATGACTCTATCGAAATTGAGGACTTGGATTTCGATATGTGGGAAGGGCAGTTCGAATTTATAGGTCCTTCGCCAACGGAATCGATAATAAAAGATATCCAAGGCGTGAATGGGTTTAAAAAGCTTCAGGGAATTCAAGAGAACAGTGAAAGAGTATGTCTTCAAAATTGGGATATTAATAAATAGTAAATAGTACTCAGTAGTAATTTAAATGTTTTAGGCACAGTACACGTGCAAATTTGACAAATAACATTAGTAAAGAAAGTCGGTGCAAATGAACATAACCTCAAAAGTTTAATCATTTTATAAGAATCATATTTTTCTATTCCTTTTTTGAAATATAAAAAAGTCTTTGTTTTTATTTATTTCATATGAGTATTTTATTTTCTTCAAAACAGGCATATTGTCTAATTATATGGAAAACGGGAAAGTCGGCTTGATTACGGCGTCGGTGTCTGTAGAGTGCTGACAAGTACGGGGGAAGAGAAGAGGGGGAGCGATAGATAGATAAATAATCAATTTAAAATTGTACACTGGCCCATCTAAAATAAATTAAATTATCTGATTATAGATAAAAATTTCATTTTCACTCTTATTTTTTTACACCCATTTAAGTCGTGTATCTGCTCTAATAGTTTTTTGCTTCGATAATTTTTCAAAAATCTTGTAAGGGAAGGGCTTTTTGAAAACTTTAATTATATTAATCAAATTAGTAGTCATAAAATTTTAGCCATATAGATATTAGTTTTAAGTTTAATTTATGTTGTCTTTAAAATAAAGAAACTGCTTTTAATGTTGATGTTGAAGTATTAAGTACATCAAATTTATCTATATTTCCGTTTCAGTTTCAGGTACTTCAACAACAAGTAGGAGTTTTACAAGACTCTGCAAACCAAAATGATGAAAGGTACACCAGAGCTAAAGCGGACAATGCTGCTCTTCAGGCGAGAGTTCTTATGTTAGAAGAGCAGCTACGTGATACTGAAATACGATATGAAGAGAAATTACAGGTTAGTAGACTGGGTTTAGGTAAATGTAAAGTTTTATTACTTTTATCTACTTCATTAAAAAAAAATAGGTGGTATAGTCTTTCCGGGATCAATTGAAGATGTATAAAAACGCCTAGCAATAAAATTTAATGAGTTTCAAAGGCGTCCCTAAATAAGTTTTCTGCTAAAGGTAAAAAATTATAATAATTTGTACATAATATGTAGAAAATATTGATGGTAATTTTTATTTTGTTTCGTTTCAAAAGGTATCCAAAATGCCATGTTGTAATAATATTAGTAAACAAAATATCCCTCTTATTTCTCCCTTTCGCAATTTTAATATGAATGATTAATAGAAGGTGCCTATAACAAATTAAAATTACCTGAATCTCACTAATTCCGCATTGCTGCCCTGCACTGCTAGGCCATTTGTTGAGAACTGAATTTCTGGCCAGGTAACCCAGTGCGGCTCTGTTTGTGCCGCGTTTGCCCTCGCCCTTATTCTTCAACTAACTGGGCGACCTGTATATGCGCCAGCAACTGAACCTGGTACGTACTTCCAACCTCTTGGTTCTTCAATTGAGATCGGAAAGACTATACCTTACTACATAATTAAAATTATTTGTTGTCTTTGAATAATAGAAAAAAGAAGAAAAGTTCTCTGTACTTTTCATGCGACATATTTTTGCCTCCTGATCACGAATCAGGTGTCAGAATTGAGCTATCACATCACAGGAATTTCCTAACCCCAAAAAACAGGTCAAAAATATAAAAAATTCAAGAAAAAGTTACATGAAAAATAGAAAAATGTGAAAAGTGATTGGGCAAGTTACGCGTTTTGCGTTAACTACTCTGTTTTTAAAAAATCTTAATAACTTTAATTTTTTTTAAAGGATTATAAAAGATTCACAAACAGAGGACTTTATGTCTCGGTGGCTAGAGAACAAGTGTTTATTCATGCAAAAGTATGTATTCTACAGAATCATTATCATATCATATCGTATTTCCAAGATAGCGGGTTCACGGAGCTCGTAACTCTTCCCGGCCTAAATGGAGCAATAGCCTTTTTAGGATATGCGGAATGGATTGGTTCTTCTTTCTTCATTTTTCTTGAGGCCAATTTCATAAATAACTGTTTTAGTCTAGGAAATAACAGATAGGTTACAATTATAACAAGTATAATGTAAATGATTAAGTTCCAATAATTAAAACGATTTATATTAACATTATTCATTTCTAATAAATCATACTTATTCTTATTTAATTCATCATTCAATTTATTTATATCATCTAAGTTTATATGTGATAATTCCAAAGGTTTCAAATTAATATCAAGTTTCTCAGAATGTACATTATTTAATTCAGGTAAATAAGTATTCAATTGTTTAATTTTAATTTCAGATTCATGTAGTTGAATTTTATAATTTTTGACAAAAATTAAACAGTTAGGTTCTAGCTTGGTAATGTAAGTACCATAAATTGTTTCAGTTCTTAAGTCATTATTACAATTAATTTTAGCAACATTTTTATCAGGTGATATAATTATATACTGATTGTTTTCAATTTCTTGAATTTTAATATCAGTTAAACTTATATTATTTTTGGTACAATTTTGTATTTGTTCTTTTAATAATATTTGTAATTCACATATATTACTATTAATACGTTCAGTTTTAGATATTTTACAAAAATAGTTTTTGTCATTTAATAAAATACATGGTTCATCAAAAAGACTGTACAATTGATCGGAAAGTACTAGGAATTTGAATTTGGGAATTATGATATGGAATTGGTAATCTGACGATATAACTGGCAGTGCCCATAAATGGAAAATGTTATATGTTTCTTTAAATACTAAAGGAATTTCTAACACAAAAGTTATAACATTATTGGCTATATAGGCTTTAATTTCCGTTATTTGTTCGTAATATAAAATGTTTTTAATATCATATGGTAATTTATTAGGCTTCTCTAAAATATCGCTTATGCGCTGCAATTCTTTTTGAAAATCTTCGGGATCAATTATGCTAGGATGAAAGCTTCCCAATTTTGCAAATGTAATAGATGTCTCAAGTTCATCGAGTACTCTAATTATTTCATTCATAGCAAGTATTAATTGATTATGAGTACTATGTAGTAATGTAAGGTCAGATAATTCTGAAGAATATATATCTTGATTTTTCATGTGGGCTTCGATTTGCATAATTCTACTAGTTATTACATATTCATTATGTTCTAGAGTATTCACGGTCTTATTAAAAGTTTCGATAGCCTTTTGCATAAAAGAGATGTGGTTTTCATTTATATGAGAAATTTTATTTTGGTTAATCTCTAGTGCTCTGATTTTTTCTTCGAAGTATTCGCCGTCTTCGGCATCTAAATTTCCCGTAATTACTTTCACAGCTTTTCCGAATACATTTATAAGTCCTCTCTTAGTTCTCTGCTTAACAAAGAGTTGCTTAAATTTTAATTCTAACGTGTTTAATATGTTTCTGTCTATAGCTAAGTAAATTCTAAATTCTGTTATGTAAGTATTACCATGTTTGGTATTATTATATGTATTATGTAAGTTATCAACTAGTTTTCTAATATTAAGGTAATTATCATATAACTTATTTAAATCTATGCGTTTTATTAATGACCATTGGGTCCGTTGTATTTTCGATATACCCAAATGTTGCGGGTAAAGACCAGGTTTATTATTTAAGTTTTCCAATTCTAGTCCTCTGATGGTACCGAGGTAGCATCTGGAATATTAAAAGAATGTTTTAAATTATCCATATGTACTTTTCGAGTTTGATTATTTTTCTTGTTTAATAGAATACAAGTTTTATCGGGGTTAATTTCTTGTATTACAAAAGGTCCAGTGAAAGGATTTGCTGTTTTAGATCTGGCTTGTGCATTTTTCACATAAACTTTATCTCCTATCCTAAATTGTTGTAAATTTTCTTCATATCTCCGTAGGTTTTGTTGATGTACGAGTTCTTTTTCTTTCATTAGGTTTGTTTTGACAATTTGATATTGCGCTTGTGTAGTCTTCTTCAGTTCGTTTACGTAATTTTCATATTGCTTTTGTTGTATGTTGATTGCAAAAGGATTTTCGGTATTGATTTGTCCTAATAAGAGTTCATATGGAGTAAATTTTGTAGATGAGTGAATGGTACTGTTATAAGCTATGACACATTGTTTAATTCTTATCGAATTCTTCAAATGAGGGCTGGTAAATTTAGTTATTCTATAATGTTCAATAACTGTTGAATGAAATCTCTCTATCAATCCGTTTGATTTGGGATTTTGTGGTGTTGTTATATGATGCTCAATTTTATATAAATGCGTAAGATCTTTAATTAGTCCGTTATCAAATTCCGGTCCTCCATCGGTAACAATTTTCTTCATAACGCCGTAGTGCATTATAAAGGTATGAAGGGCATCGCAAATTTCGATAGCATTTTTAGTTTGTATTTCGTATACCATTCCAAATTTAGTAAATGCGTCTATAATCGTTAAATGTTTCATTTTATCTATTTCAAAAGTATCTAGATGTATTAATTCCATAGGTTTTGTAGGAGTTGGTGTTAAATTTATATTTGCTGTCGGTGGCATCCTGTCATATTTGGCTAAATTACATACTTCACAATTTTTTATAAAATCTGATATGTCTTGATNGCTTTGACAGATGACGTTTAAGTTCATTTGCTATACGCTACGCCCTACGTCCAAATTTTCAGAACCAACTTGACCACGTTTTTATTTGAACGCTCGTTAGTAATTGTATATTGTATTTTAATAGTATTATAGATATATATGCTGTACGAGATACTGTGTATATTAGGTATTTCCTATTTAAATAAAGTTTCTTTCTTTCTTTCTATTTTTAAATCGCCTCTCAAACTCTATCAAATGACAATTATTAGATCGTCTCTATGGTAACATATGTCAAACATGCTATAGTCAACTGTTTTTGTTCAAATGGCACATTATACAGGGTGGGCCACCAATAATGCCGCGGTCGCTAAGGACCAAAACGGTAAATGTTACAGAAACCTGTTTAGGTGGGTATGTGTAGGTTGATTACGGCTACATTTCGACAAATATAATAATTTATAACTTCAGGGATCTAAAATACACTCTCCATAGCTGCTTCCTTAAAATTATTTTTTTATTGCAAATATTAAATTTCTACGCGAAGCCTACATTTTCACTAAAATTGAAATATCTCAAACTGTAAGTCCTGAGTATGCAGAACCTATTTTTATGGTGCTTTCAAAAATGCAGTAAAATGGTACGCTTTTCCTTTTTCAAAATATTTTTAAAATGTAGGGAATTAACCTACACATACCCACCTAANCCCGTCGCGGAAAATCAACTTCATGAAGTTCTTGCTGACAAGTTAAACGATAGGAGAACAAACGCAAATCTTTTTTTAACACTGTGTGGCAGGTACCGACTGATACTCCCACCATTTGTGATAAAACACGTACATAAGTTCTTGACGCATTTTCCATTATTTGTTGGACATTTTCTTTTAATTCTTCAGTCCGCTTTTAAGGTCGGCCGCTTCCTTCTTTTCTTGTTACACTGCCCGTTTCACGAAAAACATTAACACAACGCTGAACTGCACTTTGAAAAATTTTGTACTCAACAACGCCGGGAAATTGATTTTGAAATTCTATGAAACATTCCTCAATAGAATACTTCCATATTCCATCAATCTTGCGTCCATTTCTAAAGTAGGACTCTATGATAAACACTTTTTGTTCTTGAGAAAACACCATTTTAAACGCTTTTTAAAACGAAAATATTCAAATTGATAGCGGCGATATAGCGCTTTGACAGATGACGTTTAAGTTCATTTGCTATACGCTACGCCCTACGTCCAAATTTTCAG